AAGAGTGAAAAGCACTCCAAAAGAGTGAAAAGCACTCCAAAAGAGTGGAAATCACTCCAAAAGAGTGGAAATCACTCCAAAAGAGTGGAAATCACTCCAAAAGAGTGAAACGCACTCCAAAAGAGTGGAAATCACTCCAAAAGAGTGAAACGCACTCCAAAAGAGTGAAAAGCACTCCAAAAGAGTGAAACGCACTCCAAAAGAGTGAAAAGCACTCCAAAAGAGTGAAACGCACTCCAAAAGAGTGAAAAGCACTCCAAAAGAGAACCCCTAAGAAGGATAGCTATTTTGCAAGTTGTGCTTTATTATTGTTCCTCAGCAGAGTAGAAAATAATTACACTCTTTCGGGGTTTTTTTCAAGTTTGTAATTAAGTTAATTAATTAAAGTTACTCTTTAATTAAGTGTAGTCTTCACTCTTTTGGAGTGGTTTTATACGGACCCTTTTTTTTAGATTGAGGATTTCACTCTTTTCCTTTTATCAGATGACGGAGATTTATTCATGTCCAGCTGCTGTGTGGGTCATAATATCCCAGTTTTCGGATATGCAAAGGGTAATCAGTGGACACCATCAGGGGGTTGTGTCTATCTGTCTCTGAAGTTGCAGATCTGCAGTTGGAAAAGTCACGAGTGCATTTTGTGATTGATAGTTCAATTGCTTTACAGGAGTATTTCAGCAATACTATGGCGGGACCGTCTTCAACATAGACCAAGATTCCGGCGTCTTGTACTACGTCCTGCGTATCGCCAACTCAAGGAGTGACGTCATTGCTTCCGTCTGCCTGGACACCGGTAAAGTGACCTTCTCCAGGCTCACTGACCTGCGAAACATTTACAACTTAGCCTTCTACAAGAACTGAAATCACAATCACAATGCGTGAAATTTGGAAAGTTGTGATTGGCCAACGCGTTGCAAACTCTTGGGGGCGCACTATTGTGAATCGCCCGTATTAAAACTGCATGTTGGATACATGTGTGATGATAAGACCCTTAAAGACTATTAACTCTTTAGTAAATGGACCAACGATTTCTATTTCTATCGTTATTGCGGGATTGTCATTTGATTCAAATAACTAGCATATAGATATCTTACGTGTAATTTTGCCATAGTGCAGTTTATTCAGTATAATAATATTCTCTACCTCAAAGCTTCCCACTAAAGGAAAGCTAAGTCGAACTACGGAGCTCTTGACGTGCCGTCCGACTTGCTGACATCCAGATATATTTTATCTCAGGGAGAAGACATACTGCAAGCATGAAATCGACATCCTGTGTTAATTCATGACGAAATTAAGCCTTTTTCATATAATTTGGCACAGGATAACAACGTCCTTATTAAAGGAAGTCGACATTAAGAGATAACGCGATCATGATATCTTGAAGTAAGATGGCAATTTCCTGATGATTATTTTTTAAGTGGGATGGCGACATCCCACTTGCAGGGTGTCATTATCCCGTGATCATCATGTCACGATGTCGTCAACCTGGGGTACATTATCTCAGGATGTCATTGTATTTCAGGATGTTTCCATCCTGTAATAAATCATCTCAAAACGTCGACTTCTTTCGGGATGTCTCCATCCTGTGATAAATTAACCCAGGATGTCGTAATGCCGTTATAAATCAACTTGGGATGTCAACATCTCGTCTGTTATAATGTTGTCATCCTGAAATAAAATTCATGTGGGCCTTGTTTGTTTTGCATAAAATCTGGATAACGATCGGTGATCCGTCGTTGGTGTTTTTCGGACACAAAAACTCACTTAATGGTTGGTGCGAACCCACGTTAGGATCACTGATCGAGATTCAGATCCGTATGAAACAAACTTGGCCATATATCAGGATCCCAACACATTGGATGGTACTTCCAGAGCTTCGTACATCGCAAAAACTCTGGTTATAAAATCAAAACTTTTTGGTGTTATCAGATGACCACTGTACTTTAATTTTAACTTACTTTAACACCGCTGGTGATACTTTTCACTCTTATAAGTGTTACAATGCAATGGAGGGTGTTAAAAGTAACACCAAAATGTTTAACACCAGTGAAAAGTGTTGGAGTAGTCCTCAAATAACACCGGGGTCTTAAATTTAACACCACAGTTTTTGCCGTCTACCAGTATTATACGCTGAAGCCAATACCGAACGGGTTCTAATACAATATCGTTCAAGTCCATGTACTCTTAATATAATATCTAGATTTTACGACTTTAACACTGGGACAATCACTCCACCGAATTACATTCAAACTTGTTTTGGCCCGTTCCGCATCTGTTTGGTACTTTTACATCTCTATGCAATTTCCGTGAAAACTCTCTGTAACATCCTCAAACATACTTGCGAGGCGCAATGAAAGGGGGTCTATGAAAAGACACCTCAAGACTTCGTTGTGACATAAATATTTCTGAGGGCATGCTTTGAGTATACTTTGCGCCTCTTTGTACGTGCAAAAAAATTCACTGCTAAAACTTTGGTGTTAAAATCAACACTTTTTTATGTTATCAAATGACCACACCATAGGGTGTTACTTTAACACCGCCGGTGTTACTAAGCACACCTAAGTGTTGTAATGCACCAGAGGGTGTTAAAAGTAGCACCAAATAACACCAAAAATTTTACAACAGTGTTGGTGTAGTCCTCTGATAACGTTAAGGGTGTTAAATTGAACACCCCAGTTTTTGGAGTGTGTCTCCACGTATTGCATTCAAAAGTAATTGAATGTCGATTCAATCTAGCAGTTGCTCCCTGCAGACTTTCTGCACAGTGATCCGTTGAGACTTTTCGACAGACATAATGGCCAAATAGCTAGCTATAGGCCGTTAATTTGCCTTCTCCTCGAGGAGAAGCTTTGACACCTCGTGGGCGCAGACATTTTGAATTCACCCGCGTTTTTGTAGAACATAATATAACGAGATGGAACGAAGTCTTAAGTGTGTACTATAAATGCAACACACAAGAGCAACATTCGAAAATAACAAATACCATGCTCTCTGTTGTTCAGTTTTAACGTATCTGCAACATGATCCCACGTGTTTGCTTTTTTTACACTTATCAAAGCTAAGCATTCTTTCTCCGATAACGCGTTCAGACTTTTGGCGTAACGGTTTTGCTGTATGACGAATCGTTTTAGAATTCAAACGTACTTATGGAAAAGCTGTACAAAAGCCGTAGCAAAATCTCAGTTTTCTATAGGTTGGAGTACAAATATGGATGCGCCCGGCAGGCATCACTTTGTAAAGCAAGTTAGCGCCCGAGTAATTATATATTGCTCCATGGCGCATGCACAGCGCGCTTATATTGCTATAACTTATGAGCGATTCAGATAAAGGGTCTCCGAATGTTGCCATCAAACGGGATGGCCTTTTCACTTTACAATCACCTATACGCAGCCTGTATTCATTAATCGGTGTTATATAAAGCTGTCGTTGCTCAAATGAAACTACACGTGTACCAATATTTGAAAGGTGGGTACTGCAAAGGGAGATGTAAGTGAGAGGTCTCTTCCCATGTTATCACCCGTTGATTATCGTTCAATAGAGGCACTACAGAATGTGCGCTTGAATCCGCTGATTCCCTTGGTTGTGATATTGTGCTAATTGCTCCATTGCAGCCACGTGATTGTCAATAAAATACGCAGAGGGACACCAAAACAAGGTGGCGGAACAAATTATATGAGCAGATTTATTCAATTCGTGTAGCGTGTGCCATAAGATTAGGAAAATTATTTTCCTTTGTGACATATGCGCTTTTATATACCTAGCTCTAAAGCATTCATTCACATTGAGGTCTCGAGAGAAATTTAAATCAAACGATTATTTTCCAACTTTTTTCATCAAGAGGTTTTATGCCAGATATGGTTTCCAATTTCCCCTTGAATTTCTTAGTCCGATATATTCTTAATCAAATACTCTTTAATCATCAGAAATGGTTTCCTTCATATAGTGCCATGGCAACGCAACACATTTCACTAAAACAAATTAGAAATGAATACTCATGAACACGTCTGAAAAATGCAAAATAAAAAGTAGAATTGAATAAAATAGAGTAGTAAGCACCCCAAATTCAAACATCACAATGAAATGCAATACTTACGTCTGAAAAGGGGGATTCAATTACATGTATAAGATTGAATTGTTCCTCTTCGCTTCAGTTTTGTGACCGGGGACATAGGCCCATCCTGGAGTATGCATGAGCGAAGCTTCGACAGTGCCGTATGAACGAAATAAATTCTGCTGGATCTGTTTACAATATATTATGAAGCTGTTATGCAAATCCACACTTTTGTGCTGGCAAGAATTTATCATTTAAAAATGCATCCCATCATCATGATAATTATATCGGTGTACAAAAATGTTTTATGGTCTATCAGTATAAAGCTATGCATCATTTTCGGTAGCAGTGCTACACCAGCCGTGTAACGTCATGCTTAATTATTTTTACTTTGTGGTTCAACTTTGTAATGATGCAACTGTAGTCCTGGACAGATTTTTGGCACACGCGTCGATAGCCATACCCTTTCCAGGTTCCCCACTCCACAGGTCAATATTGTGATCTCGAGCTGAAGGGCAGACCGCGCAGTGAGACCCAACACTGAGAGGGGACCCGGGGTTGGGGGCCCGACAAGATTTGGCCAGGATTGGGTAACAAACCACCAAGCAATCCAGGGCATGGTACCAATTTGTAGATCAATTCAGTCCTCACTCGTGTCGGTACAGGTTGCGTCGTTCTCTTAAAAATGTATTTAACCATGACGTTTGAAAGGTTAAAATTGTGGTGTTTATAAAAATTTTAATCACGATATAAAATTAGACCACGACGGTTGAACTAGTGCCGAACAATAACTGAACTGAAAATAGAACCCGACGTTTAGCAAAATTGAATGCCGAAGTATAACAAATTCAAAACACAACGTCGACAGAAGTAAAAAGGTGACGTTTGAAAGTTGAATGAACAAGGGCTGAGCTAAGCCCAGTCCTTGTTGGCGGTTATCGTTTTTATTTGTTTTTTTGGGTTTTTTTGGTTTTTTTTGTTATTCCATGAATCGATTGTGGTCAAGAGTATCGAAAAAGACAGAAACAAATTTAGCAGCTGGAATTCTGTCCGTAGATGCCAAAAAATACCGACAGTAATTTGACTCCGTGTATATTCATGCTTAATTTATAGTTCCTCTTCCAAACCATCTGTGCCTGATTGAACTGAGCGCTCCCGCACAGAGCCGCCAATAAAATTTAATTTAGTCCCATCTGAGCGATTTTGCCACAGTGATGGCCCGTGACATTTAGATTCCATTTTAAGGAACCAAGTTTTTTGGGATATATTTTTCCTCTTCTCATCTAAGGCCCTAAATGGCATATCCATCAACAGAGATGTTTTATTTTTCAATAGGCTAGAGATTTGTTTGTGGCGTTTACGTTCTGTATTACACAAGTAAAGAAGTTTAAACACACAGTAAAAGAGTTTGAACGAGAATACATTCTCCCAAATGTTTTCAGAGGGACCAAAATCCGACACAACATCTACACAGCCCTAATTTCTGAACTTTTAAATTTATTATTGGCCCCTTGCGCAGGCAAAGAGTTGCGTGTTTATACTTTAGCAAACCTAGACACTGCTATAACGTCAATTGAACTTGAAATCAGCAAAATCTGGACAGGAAACTTCATTGTTAAGGTTATTCCCGTGTCGAATGCACACGGGTTGGCAAAACGCGCACGCACACACGAACCAGACCAAAACCTGCAAGCTACATGTTTACACCCGTACCTAAATAATTAAACGATTGCCCTGAATTCGACTGAACTATTTGTTCACGTCAAAACTGAGATTCTTCACAAGTTTTGATAGCAGATTTTAATAGGGGCCATCAGCTTCCCACGAAATACAAAATCCATTTTACCCCCCCAAATAATGTACCATTTTAAGTAAACGATATTACTGGAAACCATGTCGAAAAAAATCTGTAATGCCTGTATCTTTCGTTTATTTGAATATTATTGAATAATTATTGAATAACTTTTGTGAATGAGACTCGAAGTTCTTCATGGTGAAGGCGTCAAATTAAGTAATAGATTTGCAGCAGCATCATGCCAAAGTGAGGTAACCACACACACTTTTGTATCATATGTGGTAACCACACATATCCACAAAGATATTTCGCGCGTTGCTACCGCAAATCTATGGCTTTAACTGACTTTCATTAAAGTGTATAGAATGGCCAGCCAAATGAACCAGAAGGGTTTTAGCGTACTGTCAACTGCCATTCAGCCATTCCACCAGCTAAAAAACCGCTTATAAATAGACATCCAAAGCGCGATGAAGGCCATCAGTGAAGCTGAGACATCCTTTTGTCTTAGCTGCCCTTTTAGCCAGCATGGCAAAATGGCGATGCACCTTTAATGTGTGAACTGAAAAACACTACCTCATCAATTCTTTGATATACTTTGTCGTGATGTGCAGTTACTGATTTAAGGCGGTGCAAAATATGCAAAAATGTCATTTTGAAGAACCAAATCTCTTTAAATACAGTAATGTGTCAATATTTTTGTCTTTTTTTGCCAAAATATCTTTCACTTTTCATGAACTACAACATGTTGTGCGGGAGAAATGTTTCAAAACGAAGTAATTTCAAAGAAATGCTCCCCTAACCTTGTTGAAATGAGTCATTCTCAGGAACTTTGGGGCAAGCAGTAAAGGATCTGTTGTCCGCGGATTTTCTGGTCACTCCTGCGGGTTTTGAGCGTGTACACGGCGACAGGTTGCTCGCACTCGGCCGGCACAGGCACAGCCGAAAAATGATTGTCAAAGCACGCCTCGACTGTCAGCTGGTTGTGTAGCTCCACTTCACGGGTAGCGTTAAGATGTGTGCATTGACGAAACGGCTCGTCTAGCTCTTCTGTCATAGGACAATGAAAACGCGTTCGTGATTTTAATAATTAAACGAAGTTTCCTTTTTTGTGCGGGGGGGGGTTGTTGACGATACAGCCACAAGGTTGAGAAAAATACTAAAAGCAAATGTTAAGTACTCCAACAATGGTATTAATGTTTGTCTGTCTAGTGTCGTGAGAAGTTTGAACGTTTATGAAAGTTTCTCTCCTTTGAGCTTGGAGAGAAGTCAGATGTTCCTTTTCTGCGCAGTGCGTCTGATACGCGCCTTGTGGTGAAGAGGTTCGTTTTCCTTCAGCTCTAACATTAATACTAAAACTGGATCGATGGACTTGTGGGTGCGTTTTGACTACAGTGTACTTCCTTGCGTAGAACCCGGCGATGTATCTCTTAACGAAGACATCTGTCTTGACAAGGATAACTGTAAATCCGTTTTAGGTACAGGCATTATCCAGGATGTAAAGTTAAACGAGGCGTGTTCTCCCAAAAAACTGGTGAGAGAAAATATTTTCTCTTTTAAATATAAAATCTCAACCGATGATAGTGACCACTTACAGAATGTGTCTCTGCAGTCGACATAGGTACATTTACTCTGAGCCACGGTCAGCTCTGAGCCGTTCAAACCGCACTTTTTCAGGGGCTGAGTGCACAGCGGCCACGGTTCAGTCGCGCGCCCGCAGAAACGCGTTCACACGTTCACTTACCCTGACTAAAAGTCATGTCCCAGTTCTGCTCTCCGCTGCTGACTGAAATGTGGAGACTAGGATTGGAGTCCGTAGAAAGTTCGAACGCGTCTGTCGTGAAAAATACCAAGGGGGCAATTCATCTTCTTGAAAAACTGAAAAACACCCATTGACCTTGGCGTTTTTTGTGTCTTATTCTCTTTCTGTAGACGTTTTCAATCACTGACAAAGAAAACAAGCCGTCGCAGAGCATTCTACTAAGTGTTCAGGGCAACACACAAAGACTGTTCTCACCGCACACTCTCACAAATCCGGGGTTAGATTGACCCAGAATTGGGTCCCATTCGGCGTGACCCTTTTCTGGGTCAAAATATGATCCCCTTTTCGGGTGATATTTTACCCTTTCTAGGTCATATTTGACCCTTTCTTGGTCATAATTTGACCCGGAAAAGGGCCATGCCGAATGGGACCCAATTTGGGGTCAATCTGACCCAGGAGGCTTTAGAGTGTAGCCCACACACATATGAATTTGCGGTACTGACACATCTTCCGCTATGAATGCTGGAAGAATTTTTTTTTACTGTCCAAGGACCTGCTACTGGTATTTGTTACCGTTTCCCTGGTATACGTGTACTTCCACTGGTGGATCAAAGGGGACCAACGGTGGTCGTGCCTCAATAAAAAGGCTAAATTAACTCTTTTTTTCGGAGGGACAAAATAGAAAAAAAACAATTTTTTATTTGCTTTTGTTTGTTACATTTCCCTACATCCCGAAAGAATATAAAAGTCGCCAAATTTAGTCTCGATTCCCCAAAAGGCCAAAGAAGATTACATTTAAAAAAACTCAATTATTCTTGAGCAACAAAGACAAATCCTCCAAAACGAAAATTTGGCGCTTTATCCACCCCTTTTGATCGTCTTTATTTCACTTCTTTATTTTGAATCAGCTCAAAGCAGAGTTCAAAGTACACTGCAAAAACTGGAGTGTTAAATTTTAATACCTCTGGTGTTAGCAGAGGACTACACCAACACTTTTACTAGTATTAAAAATGTTCGTGTTATTTAGTGTTGCTTGTGACATCCTCCAGTGCATTGTAACATTGTAGGTGTGTAAAGTAACAACAGCGGTGTTAAAGTAACACCATATGCTCGGTCATCAGATAACACCAAAAAGTGTTGATTTTAACACCACAGTTTTTGCAGTGCGAGGTCTTTTCACTGCCCAAAAAAGAAGTAAAAAAGGGCATGGGCGTAGTGGGCGAAGGGTTATATCCGGCCTAAAAATAACAGAAAATTTAAAAAGGAAATTAAGGAACAAAGCAAAAGATAGGGGAAAGGAGACGTAAGCGAATGAAAAATCACCAATTTCATTTTTTAGAAAAATCGAAATTGACCCCATCTCACTCTTAATGAGCTTCCAGTTGATGAGAGCTTCCCCTCCCCCCGAATTTTTTCGTCAAGAAACAAAAGTTAACTTCCCCCTTGAAAAAATTTCGGGTGGAGAGTCGACATTGCCAGAATATCTTCACTCATTCCCTTATACTTCTGCTAGTTCCAGCCTTGAAGATGCGCCAGTTCGTCCTTTGATTAATATAAAGTAGTCACTTGGCCGTGTTTCTTTTTTTAAAAAATGACTACGTCTCTGGTAAAACTACTGAACTGCAACGAGAGCTCACTCACGTCACACCGAGCTAGGGTATTGGCGAATGATTGAAATCAAAACAGACAAGAACGTGAAACCTCAAATGAGAAAAGAAAATACCTACACAAATACTTTCGTCCATATTTGTGAACTGTGAAGCAGTGCATACATGCTGTTTCGGCGTCATTGCAAGTCAAGTCAATGACAAAAGATCCCTGATGAAAAAAAACAGTTTTTAAATTTAAATGGCCTAATTTACATCAACTAAATATGTATTTTTCAAGTGTTGCCTTGGGAGAGGCGATTTAGGTTATCCGGTTTTGTAAATGCATTCAAACCTAAGCCTGGTCAGGGACTTGGCTATGGCTAAAACCACTGTTGTTTCACGTCCGTCACCAAGAGGAGCTGTGGTCGGCCACGGGGAACAAGGCTAGGGCACGGTTGCATTTGCCAGTTATCAACATTCATAGTGAATTACAATTGGAGCCATTTTCATGAAAACAATGGTGGCGACTACGAACAATGAGGGAGCTGCAACGAGTGGCAAATTGGCGAATAAATTTCACAAAAACAAAACCGGTAAATGGCGATATTTCTTAACAGAATTCGTTGTAAATACTTGTCTTCGTTAGCAAATTATCACATTACATTGCATATGGAAACCAACATCTCTCCTAGATTCCTCCCAAACATTAAGTACTCTTCCTATCTGCATTTTGTGCTTGAGTTACATGAAGAACTACACAAAAGTCGAATAGAATTCTATGTGTTATATGTATCGAATATCACCACTCCAAACCCTTTTACTGTTTGATGGCTGAATGCTTTCTCCATTTTAGATGTTTGAGTATGGATACCTGCAAGTTAGAATCGAGGCTTTATATTAAGGAAATTCATTTGAAGCACTCTGGTCCCTATTTTTGGGAATTTGCCGTCTCTCTAGGAAATCGACATGCAAAAAAGAAATGCTCGACGCTCCCACTTTACAAGGTTTATTCTCTATTCTGTAAAGCTCTACAGCAAAGATACCTCTTTCAAGTGTTGCTATGTCGTGCCTGATTGGAATTAGTGTTCAGATACATGATTTCACCCGCTTTTTATTCTGTTAATCTGGAATTTCGACTGCTCGGACATGTCGGACGAAAACGTTAGCGCGACAATTGGTCCGGCAATATTCCTTATACCCAGCAAGAAATGAGACCGAGGGGTACCCCCCAACATGTCCAATCCCTATACACATTTCAGACTATTGTTTCTTAANCTGGGAGAGGCGATTTAGGTTATCCGGTTTTGTAAATGCATCAAACCTAAGCCTGGTCAGGGACTTGGCTATGGCTAAAACCACTGTTGTTTCACGTCTGTCACCAAGAGGAGCTGTGTTCGACGCTCCCACTTTACAAGGTTTATTCTCTATTCTGTAAAGCTCTACAGCAAGGATACCTCTTTCAAGTGTTGCTATGTCGTGCCTGGCTGGAATTAGTGTTCAGATACATGATTTCACCCGCTTTTTATTCTGTTAATCTGGAATTTCGACTGCTCGGACATGTCGGACGAAAACGTTAGCGCGACAATTGGTCCCGCAATATTCATTATACCCAGCAAGAAATGAGACCGAGGGGTACCCCCCCAACATGTCCAATCCCTATGCACATTTCAGACATTGTTACTTAACACATCCCCCCAAGATGTCTGAAAGGAATCCCCCAGATTCCTGCGAGACAATGTCCAACACAAAGCAGGGGGTTCTCTCCGTCTCATACCTTGCTGCGTATGATATTCCTTCAATCCGTGTCAAAAATCTGCCGAAACATCTGGGCTTTTACAAAGTGTGTTATTCGCATGAGTCCACACTTTAGCTTTCTCACATTGCATGACTTCTGGAAAACCTGTAGCAGACATTGTTGCGCTAAATGTCAAGGAATGCGTGTCACTAAGCTTGTGACTTACAGCTACAAATAATAATGACGAATTAATCGCCCGTTTTGACAACGAATATAAATCCAACGGGCCTCAACTGATATGCATCGGGCCAGCCAGTAGTTATTCAAAAAGAAAGGGGGGGGGCGTTTTTATATCTCAAGATTCGAGAAGGTAACATGTTGCACATTCGATGGAAAGCCCAGGCGTTTCATAACGAGCTGCCCAAACACGCGCATGCGCTGAAACTCAATACGCCAGGTGAACACATAGGCCAAAGTGCAGTGTATCATCCTTGCAGGCGCGTAGCCAGACGTTCATTCTTCCGACACGATAGTTTCCCCATTCAGGCCGTCGCATTTATTATCTCTTTCAATCTTCCTAATTCATGGCTTATATAATCCACCTGCCCTCCCAAATATTGGGAATCCCAAGATTCCTATAAAACTTAGGCCGTTGCAACCTGTCACTATACTCCTTGGCTGAACTGCCTGCTGCCTTATTTTATTGAGAAAGAAAAATCTCGTTTACCATATCGGCGTCTTCGATTCCTTCGATACCCACTTGTACGTCACCTTTTCCCAAGCCGACGAGTAGAAAGCACACGACTGCGATTTCAAACATGGTGGAGCAATATCACGACATAAGCTATACAGTGTGTGCTCGCTTAAGTCGTCCCCACGCTGTTGAAGCCTCCAAAAATAATTGTGCATGTTCAGTTGGAGTTGCGGGTCCTCTTATATGATCCCGTTTCAGATGACAGACAACAGTCTGCGTATTCTAAGGGCGTGCATTTTGCATTTTAACGAGCTAATTAGCCTAAGTTATTTTCCATTCGAAGTGAGCTGGCATTCAAATCTCATGAACAATGCAGGCCTACCCCTAAAGCTACCTTTTTGTCAATTAGTGTCATTTTTGTGTTTGGTGAAAACTGAACTTCTTAAGATGCACAAATTTTAAGATGCATAAGATGCATAATGCATTTTTTCATAACTAATTAAATTTTGGAGTAATGCAGCAATATGGATGGATTAAACTTATGTCAAACCTTTAAAAGCATTTTTCTCCGCGCTGAATTGACTAAGCAAGCTAGGGTGTCAATGCAAACGGTTAACAAAAGTAAATTGTCCATGAACAAAAAAGGGAAATGTTATAGCTGATTCAGAAATTTTTCATTACAGTGTCGATCGACCTAAATTCCTGGCATCCATTTTGGGCGAACCTTTTAATCTTTCTTTCCGTTCATTTTATGTTTCTACGTCTGGCTGGTATTGGAGCTCAACCCAGAATGAAATCAAAACTGTATTGATATCACACATTCAGATGCACGATACCTGCAATATTGATTGTTCACAAGCTTATCCCGCCAGAGGCATAAATTCGATATTCCACACCAGTCAAAATTACAATACACATGAATTTTATCATCTACGCAGCCCGGTTTATGGGCAGTGATGTTTCGCCGTACACTGATGTAGTGTAACCGATAATACAAGAACTAGTGTGACCTATGGTACAAGAACTAGTGTAACCTATAGTAAATGAACTAGTGTAGCCCATAGTACAAGAACTAGTGTAGCCCATAGTACAAAACTAGCGTAGCCCATTGTACAAGAACTACTGTAACCTATAGTAAAAGATTTAGTGTAACCTATAGTACAAGAACTAGTGTAACCTATAATGCCACAACTAGTGTAACCTATAATGCAAGAACTAGTGTAACCTATAATGCAAGAACTAGTGTAACCTATAATGCAAGAACTAGTGTAACCTATAATGCAATACAATAATAATATAATAATACAATGTAATGTACCGTTAACTTTAATAGATCGGACGGAGAGGGCGCTCTGAATTTAACGGGACTAGACGACTCGTACATTGTACATGTACATGTAGTTGCTTGTACGGTAATGTCATAAATTAATCGCCGATACCGTTCTTCCATGCATAGAGTAAGGAAATAATTCCCTCTGGTCCTCTCAGTGGGAATGAGTTCTATCCGGATTCGCAGGATGTCTCGGCCTGTAGTGGCTCTGGTCTTGACAATTAGTTGTGTTTGCTGGACATTTTTAGTCGGATTCCTGTTCAGTCAGACCTCCACCACAACGTTATTGTACCACCGGGCCCGTGCATCCGAAGTCACTCGTCCGTGGAATGTGACCGTGCTGTAAGTAGAACAGGTTGCTTCACCTGCATATAGATAGGCCTAACAATGAGGACGTCGTACGGAAGTTTTTCAGAGCATGGTATATAGTTTGTATCGAGTTCCAAGATTATCCCGTCTATACTTTCCACACCCTTTGAAAATGTTAACCATTTTTAGGCACTGCCAGTTCCTAGCAAATATTCTTTTTTTTTCTGTAACTGATAATCACGATCCAGCACAGTTTTGTTTACATGAGCTTTAAAAAGGTTTTCAAGTGGAGTAGATGTTCTGATTGATGGCTATATATATGTACATTGGAGGAATGGTTTACCGGAAGCAAAGTCTTAAAACTACAGCTTGGACCAATTGACCAAAAAACTTGGACCACCGTCAGTGCCTATAGTAACTGTTTTTGCATGGTGGTTGTAACTGGTGCATGCTGCTGCCGTAAGTTTTCGTCGTTCTTGTTTTTCATGACTCGCTTTAGAGTAACGAATCTTCTGAAATCGGTGCTGAAAAGGCGCCTATACACGTAGTGATTTTTTTCATCCACCACAGATCCCCATCTTCCAGTTTTTTCAAGTAATTTTTTTTCGGGGGGGGGACAAGAGAATATGTACAAAAGACGCGGATACTAAACTTTCCAGGACACTCAACCTGTCAGGACACTTTTCAAACAGTTGAGGGCGACCAAGGCATGCTGGTTGAAAACGTCAACCCAAACACTCAAGCTATCTGTTTTTGTATGAAAACTTCACTTCTTCCCAAAAGTGACAGTTTCAAGATGGCGTCACCCCAACGCTTCAAAATGTATTTACATGTACAAGTACATTGCAGTGCTTTGCAGAAAATGGTAAGGTCACAGAGAACTATACTCAAAGCCGTGAAGTCAACAACCTTGACCGCCAAAATCTTCTCGGGAGGGACTTTCTTAGTGACTGCGCCCTTTAATGGCGAGCATATTGTCAGGATCCCCACCCAGAAGATTAAATCGAACCCTCTGATGAATTGCTCACTTCATAGAAGGGAACCAAAACAAAAGTGGACATGAATAAAAACAAACCAGTTTTCACTCTTGTTGCGATCGAATACTTGATGACTTATATTGAGCAAAATTAAACCACAATAAACAAAAAAGGTTACCGGTTAGACCCATTTTGGCGAGCAGCATCCATAAATTAATGAAATAAAACGGTCAGAGTTCATTTTGGCGAGCAGCATCCATAAATTAATGAAATAAAACGGTCAGAGTTCTGTTCTTGCTTGTCTTGAGTGGTGCTGTCGGTGTTTTATAGGACTCTGCAGGGACGACTCTTGATGACACACATCAGGAAAATGAAGAAAAAGGGTGGGGCTTGTCTAACGCGGCCTCGCGTTAGATCAACCATGGATCAACACGGCCCATGCCGTGTTCGATGAGCACACGCACGTCGGACCTTCTCCAGAAACGGCTTCAGGGTCTGGAGACGAGGATCCAAGCCCCAAAAGTCCGACGAAGTCGCCAAACTGGACCGGGCAGCACTGTTTCGGTGCCAAAACAACTCCACAACCCCGTCTACTTCGCGGACGACATCAGACCTCCTTCCTTAGACGATGGGTTCCCGGTCTCGGGCATACTCCCCTTTACAGCGGGCAAGGGCACAATCGTGACGCTCATGGTCCTCTTCGTTCCGTAAGGATGAAAAGGCACGCCCATATTTTGCCCCCCCCCCCCATTTTACACTAGAACGGTCATTCCAGGCAAGCCTTTCGCTGGTCGAAGATTCCTGGTGCTCAGTCATTCCAACGTTGAATATTGATGCAAAACCAAATAATTTACATAAGACTGCTCGCCCCTGTTTGGTTTTTATATTGAATTTCCCTTCAAAGCATTGTAAAGTCCTTTCCGAAAAAATGTAAGTATATTTTAATACAATTGTAAAGAAATGTATTTAATATACGTATGATCTTAACACCACCCTCACCAGTACCCCCATGCCACACATGGTGGATTTTGCGGTCACACTTCGCACTAAAAACTTCACCTGGTACTCAGCGTTCCCGCCCCCTCCCAAAAAAAAGTGCCCAGTGCTTTTATAGTGATCATGCATGATCCATACTCCAAAACTACTTGTGCACTCTAATTAGCAATAGTGGCATAATTATAGTGTTGCTTCTGTGTGCTGCAATGGTTGCCTCCAGACAGTACGGAAGCATACATGTGTAATTGCTACCATCGTGACAAAAAAATGCTGAGTCCTTTAAGGACTTACTATCGCCGAGTCATTCACGACTTTGGATGTAAAAACGTTGGCCTCGCTTTTACTTCAACATGGCCGACTTGTGATTAAGGCTACTTGTGGAGCTCAGTGCTGAAGCCGCAGGCCACTCATACTTAAAGGGTCATATGCAATGAATTTTTTAATCAAACGGATCTTTTGTGTAACTGTTTTATTCTTTTTCGGCATATGCGACCCGTTTTTGCATCCAGAGCCCGCTTAAAATTCCAAAGGCAAGTGTACGACCGATGCAAACCTAGGGTTTTGCTTGTGGGTTGCAAAATAGCTTTTCGTCTTGTTCAGATTAAATTACAAATGCCGGGAAAACATTTAGGACATTTGTAATCGATTTGGGGAAATTAATTCTGTAACACTGTAATTAGCACACTCGTCATCTACCAGGCTGCATTTTACTTTCGTCAACGTCCTGTTCTTGCCTCTAATTCAGTAACAGTGTGAGTAGATATGCTCTTCCTTTCCCAGCCCATTGTACTGCGCCACTCCACAGCCCAGTTGGCTACATTCGAGCGAGTGTACACTCTTCACGTGCGGCCTAACCTCAAAACGCGCTGTCGCTACGCTTAGCTGGCTCCGGTCTACATGCTGCATGGAGCTACCGCCATGAATGCATACCCAAACGGCCATGACCGCCGTGTTGTTGGGCGTAACCTGATTCAGTCACGCAAGGACAACTTGGCGACAAAAGAACCAATGGGAATACATGTATGGTGGATTAGGAAGTTGGTGGTCTGATGACGCTGATCGTAATTTAGCACGAACTGCTTTAATAGTAGCAAACAATAACAAATATAACTCTCACCATGCGCTCACAAGCAGCGGCAAGCTAGCTTGCACACAACAGAGCCCCTGCCACCCACGTCCAGCGATGACTCAGGTGACAGGGCCAGTGTTTACAAGTCCTTGAAAGTTGAATAGTGTGCAGTATCGTTGCGTATATGCCGCAGTTTCATATGATGCCGTCTTCTGACGCCGCCTCAATCTTTGCATGAAAACATTAAACGAAATAAGATCAAGAAATAATAATGAGTTCTGTTGAAAAGATAGCCGCCCTACTCAAAATACGTCACCGTGTATGGCACGCCAAACGTTTTAATATTCAACGTTTTCATATATAGGTGTGATGTTCGCAATATGTGTTTAACGATTTCCATTATATGTGTAATGTACAAACTTTGAATGCAATGTCCAATATATATGTAAGACGTTCTGCATAAATATGTTCGATGACTAACATATACATGTGCAATGTTCGATATATTTATGCAATATTAGGCATTTTATGTGTGCGATATTGAAATCTATTTGTTCGATGTTTTCTCACATACATTCGATATTCAGAATACGTCAGGGTCATACAGGAAGTTAGGGAGCCAGACTATATTTAATGAATTGTGGGATAGCAGAGTAGAATTTATCCGTGGCTACGGCTTGAAATAATGACACTGTGCCGCGAGTTCCGATAGCCGAATCCGTTAGATGTAGATAAGCTTGTCTAGTCGCTCGATTGGCTGGTTTCTTCCGCATGGTACATAGGCCTAAGGGTGCACCACTACAAATAAATTCCCATAGACAGCAGTGATAAATCCCCATGGGCCTACTTCACAAAAATTTTAAAAATACTCACAACTCTCACAGGTGTTCAGGCTGCACAGAAAAATGATGTTCCGCATGTCCCCTTTCATTTTCCTTTCACATTTCGGGGGACTGACAAATGAATTTTTGAGAAATTTTCACCAGAAGCAGACCACCCCTAAAATGAAGAAAATGTCCCTGAGCAGCAAAATAGCCATTTTGAAAAACCATCCCTCTGCAAAATGGCTCAAATAGTGCCACTTTCGGACCCGATTGCATCCAAATTGCTCAGAGTTGGAAGCCCCAAGTCTGGCCCAGAGGTTCAGTCTCATATTTCTTCAATTCTCCAGTTTCATGGCTCTCAGGACCCTCTAATATAGAATATTTTGAGTGTATAACTTTTATTAATGAGCTCGGCGGACATGTTTCTGGTCTAAATACAAGGGTGCACCCCTAAACAAGCCGGGCAGCGAAAACCACTCACAAAGGGGTACAGATAGAGTTTGGCAACTGTTGATTTTCGACTCGGCCGAAGACAACGCGATAACCTGCTCGGCAGGTGGCACAACCACTGCACCGCAATTAACAGTACGATACTTTTTTCCAAAGAAGAAACCACTGGATGTACTATGCTCGCAGAGAATGTGGCACATACGGTCAACAATTTAAAATAGATCGATTCAAGCATGGCCGACAGTAATGAAAGTATCCCCCTTTCTATTTTTAGTGGTACTACAACAGACAACTTTGATCTAAACATGGTAACGATTCAAACAGCAAATACGTAATTATACTCCCAAGCTTACATCTGAGCTGGCTCTTTGGGGTCCCATATGGGGTCGTGGATGTAAGATGTTAGAGGCCCCATATGGGTTGCCCAATGTGGGGCCCACATCTTGGCCCATCTGGGACCCATTTGATTTTGGGCTTACTACGTGCCAGTGGGTCGTGCCATGTGTTTAATTCCTCCATGGTTATGCTGTATCAACACAAGATCGTGTGGGACAATTATCTCAACGTTCGTCTTAAACATCCAACGGGAAACGGTTACGTAACGTAGCCACGGTGGCCATGGCGGCGGTACATGCCTCACGCTACAGAAGTAATTTGGAGCCACCTTCCATGCACAAGAGTCGGCACAAGGAGCATGCACAAAGCAACGAAGTTAATTTGAAGAATATGTCTTAGGCATATGTATAAATTTCTTTGCTTTTAATAAAAAACAGTAACGTGGACATTTTGGAAATTCCGATACCTTGATTCTGCCGATATTTTGTCAGTTTATATAATTTGCAAAGCATTGACGTTTTTACACGGGGGGGGGGTAAATTTATGTTTGAAATTACATTTATTCATTCGTGTATTTGTTAATCCATGTCAAAACATAGACATTTGGTTTCTAAGTTCTATTGGTATATTACAACAATCAAAAATTAACCCTTCTGTGAAATAATTTTTGGACGCAATAAACATTAATTTGCACACATCTATTCCTGCAGTCTATAATCTCTGTTCTCTGATTAAAAAATGCACACCATTTTCTCCAAAATCAGTCTTTGCTGATTAAGGGCCGATCGCCAAAATAACTTAAGCCCGTCTACTTGGGTTGTACAGTTTTTGTGCAGATAAAAAAAACATATATGTTACTGCATAGGCCTACATCCCTTTGGAAAGACGAATAGTCTCTACAGTCTCTCTACTTCGTACTGAGATTTCAACCAGTCTTGAAAATCGCGCAGTGGAAAAAAAAACACCACATATCAGCATCAATGCTGATAGGTTAGTTTGATACCACGGGAGTCTGACCTCCGTGATTTGACCTTCGTGATGAAAATATGGTTATTGCACTGAACTACAGCAATACAATTGCTTTAGTAAATGTGAAATATTTTACTTAGCGCAGATTTGGCTGAACAGATTAACCATTTTGATAAGTTCTGAGTCGATCTTCCCATAGCAAGGTCTCCATCAATAAAGTCCGCTTCCCATGCCAGGAGGTTGAATTACCACCTGCTGCGAAGGAAGGGTCTTGAGGCCTCATGTAAATTACATTATCGCACTGTCTAGCATGAGCAGAGTTGAAAATAAACATTAAAATTCCACCGAAGTACCGGACTGGCACAATCACCTCCCTCAGTTCAAACTGGTCCTAAATCATTTTGCGATTGTTGTCATGTGCCAAATACAAATAAACAACAATTACACACTTGACGTTTTTATGAAAATGAAGTTTTTATTAACATTTAGACCGAACATGTTGAAGCAGACTTTCGTTGTCCTGGTTGCAAGAACCGCGTTCATTTTCAATACGTTTTTATCATAACACTACACCGAATCTTTCAGAGCGCTGGGACTGTCTGAAATACTCTTATTCTTTATTTGTTCATGTAATTAAAAAACCGACTGCGGACAGACAGTTATGAAGTTTTTGTTGCTTTTATTTTTTACAGAAGCAGGGTTTCCCCTTGTCGGCCCCAGCACCGCATCGTGTACATCAAGACCCACAAGACCGGCAGTTCAACCGTCACCAACATCCTCGAGCGGTACGGCTACCTGCGAGGTCTCAACTTTGCCTTGCCTAAAGCGCTGTCCTTCTCCGCAACGAAGAAGTTTGACCCTTCACAAGTCTACCTAAACTATCTGAAGGATGGAAACGGTAGTTCCATTTGGCCGGCACTCGGAGGGTTTCACCTCGTTGTCAACCACCTCAGATATAATCGCAAGGAACTGGAGGCGACCATACCCAATGCTGTCTACGTCACAATTATAAGGGAGCCCGCCTCCCAGTTCTTATCGGCCATGTGCTACTACAAACTCGGTTCCCAGGGGAAGGCCAAATCAATGGCGGATACCTTGGACATCGCCTTGGCCGATCCGGAGAAGTACCTCAACGTGTTTGCGAGAAACGGGCACGCCTACGATCTCGGTATGGATCCCGCGTCCTTCTCTGATCCCGTCGCGGTGAACAAGACCATCGAGTCGCTGAGTCGGGAACTCGATCTGGTGATGATCACCGAGTACTTTGACGAGTCTCTGATTCTGCTGAAGAAACTCCTGTGCTGTGATTTCGAGGACATCCTGTACATAGCAAAAGGAGTCGGCAAAGGCTGCGCTTCCAGAAACATTACTTCGGACGCCAGAGAGAAGATCCGGAGACTGAACCACGTGGACGTGAAGTTGTACCAACATTTCAATAGGACGTTCTGGGACAAAGTCAGAGATTACGGCCCTACCTTCCAGCAAGACTTGCGGTCGTTTCGGGAAATCAAGGAGGCCAACACGGAAATGTGTTTGACAGGCGCAAGTGAACGCATTGACGGACACAGTGCGGTCGTTCTTCGGGTTGGGAAAAATGCCTCCGAGAAATGTAACAATTTATTTCGAGAAGATGTTCAATGGGTGTCGATACTTAAAAGGTACATGCAGAACAAAAGTTCTACTTTTGTTAAAGGAATAGACAAGCGTCATTAACTTTCTTTTTCGCTTGTTTTCAAAATACTTGTTTTACAGTCAAGAAAAATGAATAATTAGATTGTTGAGTCCCGTTTACTTTTCTAGACCATATTCAATCTGGTTGTGCAATCTTTGCTTTCACTCACGTCTTCGAAATTTGAGAAACGCCTTCTTTTTATTCTTTTAAGTTCACATGCTCCCATTCACCAGGGGCGTATTTCGGCGCCCTGAACCATGAACTCATTTCAGCGTTGTCGGAGTTGGTTCAGGGCAGATTCAAAATGGCGACAAATAAACAGTTTTTGTCGCCCCTCAAATGAGTGATTAACATAATGAAAAATTTGTTTTTACATGCCGAGAATTCAAAGCGATACTTTCTTCTAGAACGTACATAAAAAGAGAGAGCAGCACTGATTAGAAACATGCCGAATATTTAGTGAAAATGATGTTGATTAATTAACATTGCCGTCTGCTTCCTTGCGCTTGCCTCTGTCAGATGAGGTAACCGTTTCTGGTTCCTTGTTTTCGTGTGCCACTCATTAACAGTCCTAGGGCCAAATTCATAGAGCTGCTTAAGCACAGAATTTGCTTAAGCGTGAAAAAGCCTTGCTTAGTAAACAAAGTTACCAGCTCAAACTTTATGTGATTGTCATGCTAACCAAAAGGCTGGTAAATACCATTCCAAAGCAATACACATCACAAGAAGTTTTGGCTGGTAACCTGATTTGTCAAGCACGCGGGACCATAAGGCCGGTGCATTCTTCACGTAAATGCGAAAGTTGACGTGAAATGACGTCATGCGAAGCGCACCCACTTTTCTCGTCTGGTGAGGCCCTTTTGAATTTTAGTGGAGTGAAATTCCTCTGTTCTTTGCTTAGTCCGAAGAGAACTGCTTGCATCACCATGCATGAGTATATTTACAGAAAGAAACTACCGTCATCTGTGGCGGGTCGTCTTTCAAACCTTACTGGGCAGTCTCGTATACATATACCATTTATGTTCACGTCTCTGTGACAAACAGGTTTTGGCCGTGGCTTTCATCTGAAAGAGCCGGGGTGGAATCCGCCCTCATCAACATTTTTTTCAATATTTACCCATGGCTTTTAAAATTGGCGACGTCCTTGAAATCGTTCCTTTGTGCCCGTTATGGTCAGTCAGTAGGATATTACGGCTGCGTCTCGTTATCCAGAGCTAAGTCAATGTCTGCACTCCATTGGAAATACGCAGAGAAGCGCAGACAGCAGACCTAGTCGTAGATCTAGCCTCTTTCGGACCCGACCTGAGTCCGTGAGAGAACCTGTGAAGGATTTGCTGATAGCGCCCTCTTTCAGCCGAGCTCGCCTGGTGTCACTTTCTCAGATCGTGGGTGATGTAGGCTGTGCTAGTTTCACTCGGATCTGGATCACAATCAGTGATCCGTCGTTGGTTTACAGACTCTAAAACTCGCTTAATGGATGGTGCGAACCAGCGTTTGGATCACTGGTCGATCGAGATCCAGATCCGTGTGATACAAATAGCCCCGTAGAGACCTGTCTGGTACGTTTCAAAATTCCACCCATCCTAAAAGGAATATGTTTAACATGATGGGATGGCACCCCATGGGGTTTCCGTATTAAGAAAGTACGTGCACTCCGATCCCCCCTGGTCGATATACAGATTTTGATCGTGACAAAAAGACCCAAAACTGAAGAAAAGAAAGAAGACCAGAAACAGAAACTGTCAGCTTCACCCCACCAAAACACTCGGCAATAATAGACTATTTTTAAACACGACTTGATTTATGGTTGGAGCCTACAGAAAGTGCAGCCTCTGAAATTGAGACGTCACAAGACGTCAGTATACCATCTCGAGCCCAGCACAAACTCCCCAAGGGTGCAGTCTACTAATTCAAGTGAAAATTAATTTTCTGGCCAGCTCATTAGCATTAAAAGTGCCCCACAGTATCTTTTGAAAAAGGAGATTGTTTCGCCCCCAAAATGGTGAGATTGTGGGAGGGGGGCCGGGGGTACCGGGAATTTGTGCGTGTGTGGGGGGGGCGTGCCCCCAGGCCCCCTGTGGCTACGCCGCTGTGCATTCCACAGTGCCAGATGAGCACGAAAAATTGCAAGGCATTCGCCAGCGACGTGCCATTCAGGAACAATCTAATCGGCAGGTTGTCTAAAAAGTAAGGACGCCCTCATTTGAACACCCACTTCTGATTGGTTGCTCGACGGCAGGCGGGCATCCTTTGCTGCGGTATAACTTTAGCGTGAGTATGCGATGCACTGCTAATTTTTTTCACGCATCTGACATGTAACGCACACAGCTAATGAGCAATCACGACCAAAACATGGAAAACGAAGAGGACAGTTTGCAAGGATTGTTGGCCGACAGCGACTCTGACATGTCGTCCTTCGATGCTAGCGATGCCAGCGGTATGGATGACGGTGAAGATGATTTCTCGGCAGCAGCAAAGACCTTCATGGCGGAGACACGGGAAGACATGACCGGAATTTACAGGTGAGCAGTCTGATGAAGATGTCGTTCATTTCCACAATTTCCCTCCTCAATGTTCGAAGCAGTGCATGGTTAGCATTTGGTGCAGTTCATGGATGTCAATCCCGAGCGGGGGAATATACCCCCCCCCCAAAAAAAATATGAAGTAGGCCTTCGCACCACGGAATAGGCCACTGGTGCAATAAACGTTTTTCACGTTTGCAAAGCATTATGGGTTTGGATGTCAAGAAAGACCCAGCCCCATGAGGCTATGCGAGAAGTGTACCTGCAAAACGTAATCTATTTCCATTTTGTTCCATACTCCAATTCATGTCATCCTCTTCTGACAGTATGCACTGCACTGGAGCAACGCATTCCGAAGAACGGATAGACTTCACGCCAATGCCAGATCTTCCAGTTACTTTTTTAGCAAGTGGTGTGGGAGCCACTGGTTACTGCTAAAACCAATCGTTATGCTGAGCAGAGTATGACGGAGAGGTCACCGGGCCACCCTAGTCGTTCGTCTCCAAAAACCGTTCCCTTTGTAGGAAATTGCAGCGCTACTGTGGTGTGTATGGGTATCAACAAGCGGCCTCACTACAACATGTACTGGAGCAAATGGGACATTGTACACAGTGCCATCAATCCGACAACCACACAAAAGATTTATGACAATTCTTAAATTCTTCCATCTCACCAACAATCAAGCAGCTCCAAATGTGGACGCTAGGCCTGACAAGCTGACTAAAGTCCACCAATTCACTCAGACAAATACCCTCGTTTCTTCGTCATTACAGACCCAGCCAAAACCTCGCTCCTGATCTGACGAGACCATGATCAAATTCAAGGGAAGATTATCATTCATACAGTATATGCCAAGAAAGCCATCCAAATGGGGCATCAAGTGTTTCTCCTGGAACAATCTGAAACGGGTACACATGCGCCTGGACTGTGTACTGTACACAGGGTCACAAGCACAAACACGAAGTGCCAACTCGGAGACAGCTAGACAGTGTAGCTGATCATCCCACTGCGGTACCTCGACCTGGTCAAGTTTATGGATTTGAAAATCAGGGACACGGCATCTTTTGCTGATAATTGATACACCAGCCCTGCTCTTGTTCACAGGTTAACCCAGCTAGGTTTGGGCTTTTATGGAACTGTGCGATACAAGACTCAAGGAATTTCACGTTTTGCAACCCCCAATTTGCTAAGGCTAAAGGAGATAAACCTTACTTTAATGAAAAGGCGGGACAACTGTGTGTTGTATGGCAGGATAAAAAGCGTGTGACGCTCTTGATAAACTATGGCAACTGTAGTGTAACTAATAAGCAGATTCGGTGTAAAAAAATCTCCTACAGGTTATCGCGACATCAGCAAACCAAATACAGTGTACTGTCACTTATTACAACAAGCATGTGGGAGGAACCGATCCTACATCAAGACAGTGTGTGTCCTATGCACATGCTCACAGATCGGTGAAGTGGTGGAAACGAGTATTTTCTGCTCTTCTAGACATACATGTATTTGTTCTAAATGCAAGACTAGAGTATGATAGTCTTAACACCGGTCGTAGACTGTCAAATCTTGACTTTCGACTCTATCTGGTCCAAGGCCAACAGTCATTAGGGAAGAGTGGATGTGCCGGACATGTTCACAAGAGCATCCCATGTACATGTACATGAATTTCAAATGATGTACAGCATCATCCAGGCAAAACTAAGCAAAATCGCAACTGTGTTGTTTGCAGTGCCAAAGCTCAGAGAAGGCAAACGCGCATGATTTGTTAGACGTGTGTTAAGCCAATGTATATGTCATTGGATGCTTTGAAAAATTTCCATCCTAAGATTCCTTAAATCTGCCAGTTTGCCAATTTTTGTTCGGTTTTATTTCATTCGATTGGAAATCTAGATAGCTATGCAGTGCCCCGCGCAAGGTGGAAATCAAATAACTATGGTGCCCGTTAATGCTTGTAAAGTCCCAGCGATGATTATCGCAATAGGAAACATCCAATATAAATGACAGCATTCCGGGCACAAAGATTTCACAGCTTGAGTAATGCCACTGTTTTGTCACTCTCAAGTAGGTCTGTTGTGTGTGTGTGTGTCTGTGCGCTTATACATGGGGCCTTGTGGGGTACCGGAACAATGGGAAGTACCCCACAAGGCCAGTTTTTACTTTGTGGGGTACTAAAAATTGGTACCCCACAAGAATTTCACGAAACTGATATTTGGAAATAACTCAAAAAGGGGAAATTTTTGATGGGTAAAAATCCGTCGCAAATTAAAGTGTTTTAAATAAGGGACATACGGTCAAAATTTCAACCCAGGAAAGTGATTTTGGTTTAAATTGGAGTGATTTGAAATTTTTAGCGTGTTGTGTGGGAGTTTTGTACACGAGAACGAAGGAAATACCCCACAAGTATAGCTGTGTAAGGATGGGTGCGTGTGTGTGTTTTTTCGGGGGGGGTGTGTTTTGCCTTTTTGTAAAATTTATACTACTGCCGTTAATGTGGTATTTCTATGGACTCTGAGATTGAACCCTCATACCAGCAAAGAACTGGAGGAATATGTGAAATTTAGGTCCCACGAAACGGCCTTGGAAAGAAATACTTGAGAGTACAGGCCACCGTAGTGGAAATTGGCTTTTCAGGCCCATTCAGGCAGACTAAAACATATTTTACATATGAAGCAAGATATGAGGCGAATAGAACCCACCAACGCCCCATTTGTGTCGGTCATTGTTTTACTGGAATCTCAGGAATTCTTTTCAGACATGGGGGGGGGGTTAAGCGACAATAGTCTAGAGTGTGTATCGGGATTGGGCGGGAGGTTACCCCTCTGTCTCATTTCTTGCTGGTTATACGGCAATGGACCCAGGATTACCATAAACGCGAGCTCCATCCTTGTGCTACGGGCAGAAAAGATCCATTAAGCTATACAACACAACCTGAAGTCTAAGTGTTAATCAATAAAATCATTTCATGCTGCATCAACTTACGGAGTTGTCGCCACTGCGCGGTGTAATCGTGAGGTAACCTCCTCAACAGCGAGGGACTCCAGACGAGAGA